AGAAATACTACCTCAGAAATGATATGGCCCGGTCCTGTAAAGTTCAGGGGCAGACTTTGCCTTAATAAGACTGGGCGTTATTGTACTAAATACAAATGGCTTGTATGCCTGGAAGTCCATGACCTTGATTTTTCTTCTCTCCTCCCTGCGCCAAGAGTGGCTCCAAGTTGGGAGCAAGAATGGTCCAATGGATACAGCACGGCCTAGGCCATAGGGGAGACAGGTTTATTTCCCTGCTCCAGCACGGACCCTCCTGCGTGACTTTAGTTAAGACATTTAGCTTATTTACCGATTTCCCTATCTGTAAAATGAGGATGATAATGCTTCTCTATCTCAGAGTAGTGTTGTGAGGATCAATACATGGAAAAAGATTGTGAAGCACTTTTAGATCTACTGATGAAAAGTGTTAATTAAGAAATAGGCATCATCATTATTAATAATAATTTTGTACCTTATTCTTATACTATCATTTAATTGCAAGTGCAGTTTTGTAAGTGCATTTGCTAACATTTAGCCATCTAAATACCCAATTTTAAGCGACACATAGACACAGAACAACCAGTTTTTGAATGTGCTGATGACCACCATGGCTTGAGATATAGAGAAGTATTTCTTCCTTTCTATCCAGGCACAAGTACAATGTCCCATCAACACTACAGTACTAACCACACTGTGGGGTAGAAGGGATATAACAGTTTTTATTTATAGTGTGGAAGTGGCATCACAACCATTCTAGGAAATCCATCCCTAAATTTCTATAACTGGGCTGTCACATCTACGTTGCAAACGAAAAGCCATGTTAGAATGAGTGCTTGAGGAGTTCTAGACAAGGTTGATTTGTAGAATGGGACTTTCAAATACATGCTGACCTAAATTTACTCCCATCGAAGTCAATGGGAGCAGAGTGAGGCCAGTGCTGAGTGTTGTTGACAGTCCCATCCATGCAGGGCCTAAATCGAAATACCCTTACCTCTGATCTCTTGGGCATTGGAGTGGGTGCGTGCACTTGGGGAGGAACATAGTCCTGTTTCAACATAAACATTACAATTCCACAGCATTAAAAAGAAAATGCCTCCGAGGCTTTTCAGTGTTTCTGACCCTGTTAGGGGCTCTGTATGTTCACTAAATACTTACTGCGCCATTTCCCAAACTCCCGCTGACAGTGATGGTAGTGGCCTATGCACAGTGAGGGAGGAACAGACACCTCAAAATTGGGTGATTATTTTGCAGTTTGTTCTGGTGAAATTAGGCTAAGACAAAGCAATTTCGGTTCACCTTCTGACTCGGGGCACACATCACACTGTAACCCAGATGTGGCTCTCTTCTTTAACTCCCAGTCTAATTGTACTCAGGACAGCCAAGGGCGAGGGGTGCTGTGTGGGCCGTGCAGTCGCCTCCAGGAAGGGAGTTTCTGGTGGTATTCAGCTTCAGCAGTTGCCTTGCTTGGCTCCAAAGAAAATCCTTTTCACTCATGTACCAGAAGCCTGATGACAGTGATGTAGCTTGTGGGTGGGGAGGTGGTTGCCAAGTATGAGGAAGTGGGATCTGAAGAGAATCTGAGCATGATGGAAGCTTGCCTGTTCAATACATTTGTTTCTAAAAGGGCTGCTTATAAAGAGGTGCTGGGAGGTTAAAATTTAAAATTTTGTTACTAATAGCACTGCATTAAAACTAGATATTAGGTCTGTTTTTCACTCTCTATGCTACTTGATTACACTTTGCACTTTGCTCCAAGAAACTATTCAGTTTCACTTTCTGGTGCATTATCCTAATGCTGCAGTAACTGATGGCAAGTGCTGCAGGAAAACAGTTTAAAACAAAAATGTTTTTTGTTACTTTTTCTTACAACTGGAGGTGAATGGTCCTATTCTGTCTTACACCAACTGAGGATCTGGACCAACATTTTTATTAATAGACCCAAAGTCATGTTGTGGGGCTAAACCAGTGGTTCTCAAACTGTGGTTCATGGAATCACTTGTGGGTGGTCCATGGAGCTGCAGCTGTTCCTGTGGTGAAGCATCTTTCAGTCTTCAAGCAGTTTCCTGCTAAATATAGCACAATTCAGGATTCCGCAAATCAGTCTGGACCGGTTTACACTAAGAATTAATTTGGCCCTTTGCATTTCCAAGAGCTTTTGGGATCCAATAAACTCAAAAAACCTAAGCATCTCTCTGCACAGCTGTTTTGTTTATTTCAATGTTTCTTTGGTGAAGAGACAAGTGCGATTCAGTTTAGACTCCCAGAATTTAAGGTCACAAACCTTTAAAGAAAGCTAACGATCTGAACGTTGGATGCAGGCTATGGGGGGAGGAGGGGAGAGGGAGGAGGATGATTCGGTATTAAATCTAAAGTCCTAGTCACAAAGAGGAAATAAACAGCACAGCTCTAAAATACTGGAAATATAATGAAGCATTGTTTTTTACTAATGTTGTCTCCTTGATATTTACGGAATACTGTTTCAGATAACCAAGCGCCACAGGGAAGTTGCCTGACTTGAATTGGGACAGTTGGATGGGAGGTAACCTATGAATTGATATGGAGGCATGCACCATAATAAGAAAAACTTTGAGAACCACTGTCTCTAAGTACCCACCAGTCTTTTTTTCTTTTTTAAGTGCCTTTTGGCTTGTAAGTCTTGTTTGTGAGGAGTCACAGGGCAAACTACAGTATAAATAGAGCTATATACAAGTTGTGGTGTCCTGTAATGTAGACTGTGTTAATTTCACACCTGCAAGATTGTAGTATACAGAGTTGCTGTGGACTCAGGCAATAATGGAGTACAGTGTTGCCAACTCCATTGTTCAAAAATTGAGTTAAGCCCCAGAATATCATGAGATTTCAATATATATTGGGCTTTTTATTTGTATTTTGGTTTTAGAGCCTTTGGCTGCACTTGGATACAGAAAGGGGGGTAAAAAAGAAGAGACTTCTGGAGCCCTCAGATTACATGAGAAGAGGCAATAAGAAAAAAAAAATGATATCCGGAGTGTCACAAACACTGGCACCATAGTGTTCATTGTTTGTGTGTGCTTGTGGAAAGGAGAAAACCAGGTAATTCTTGGAAGTTACAATATTTGCTCTGAAGCACGAGCGTCATGTAGTTCTCAATGTGCCCTGCTAGCTTCTAAAGCGAAGGTCCAGTTTTGCCCTCCCCAGTTCTGTGGGTTAGAAATCTTCTGAAGGCCTATCGCAGCTCCATTGGGATTGGAGAGCAATGCTGTATCTGTAAATCCAGCTGTTGGCTAGCATGGTATCTTGGCATTCCTTCAATTCAGTGTTTGTTTATTGCCTTTGTTGGTTGGCCAGTGTTTTTCATTGGTTTTTGCTTGAAAGACTGACTAATATCTGGTTATGGAGCAGCGGAATATTTCATGGCCTTTGCCTGACACTGTGGAGTTGATTTTAAGTTTAAAAAAACAAACAAAAACCTTTTGAGTTTTTTAGGGAGTAAATATTGGAACAAAACATAAAGCAATTGATAGAAACACTTTGTAAAAACCTTCCTTATGTTGTAGCAACGGTTTAGTATAACACAATACTTTCTATACAGTGTCCGCTTATTTAGCAATTTGCATAATGTGATGTAAGAATGAACAGTGGGAGGAGGTAGGCTGGTGAGAACAGCATCAAATTATTTAGGCTTGCTATAAAAGTATGTTGTTCCATTGCAATTTGGGGAAGTGTGTTGCTCTCTGAGCTTCTGGAAACCTCTGTCTAGGAGCATTGTACTTTTAATTTCTCTTGAGAGGAGCTTAATGACCACGATAATGAGTCAGTTCCTTAATTATATGTATTACAGTAATTGTATAAAGTGTTTTATGACTGAGCTTGCAAGTCATACCATAAAACTATTTTCTACTATTTGTCTTTTCCAAATCCAATATACGTTGTCTCCAATTTCAAAAGCATTTTCCATGGGTGATTTGAGAAGATCACAAATGCAGGGGACTGGTCAACTATATTCACTTTCAGGTTTTCTAATTGACCCTGGCCTCTGGGGGGATGTGCTGAACAGTAATGGTTTTGTTTAGAAAGGGACCAAGAGAAGGGTATGTGTTCAAGGCTCTTCCTTGGGTCTTTGTTCCCAGGTCTGCTGTGTTGAGGAGCTTTGCAGGACTAGTACGGTCTATCCTTGGGAGGTGAAAGGGGAGAGAAAAATTAGGGACTTGGAAGACCTTGCAAAGGTTGAAGATAAACCCATGGTTATTTAATCTCTGCATTTGGCACTGAGACAACTGCTACTGAAATACTGTGCCCAGTTCTGGTGTCCACAGTTGAAGGACGTTAATAAATTGGAGAGGGTTCAGAGAAGAGCTACAAGAATGATTAAAGGATTAGAAAACATACCTCATAGTTACAGACTCATGGAGCTCAATCTATTTAGCTTAGAAAAGAGAAGGTTAAGGAGTGACTTGATTAGTGTATAAATACCTACCTGGGAAACAAATATTTGCTAATGGGCTTTTCAGCCTCACAAAAGGTACAACATCATCTAATGGCTGGAAGTTGAAGCTAGACAAATTGCAGATGAGACATAAGATGTAATTTTTGTTAACAATGAGGGTAATTAACCATGGAACAATTTGCCAAATGTCCTGGTGGAGTTTTGACTGTTTTAAAATCAAGATTAGATGTTTTTGTAAGAGATCTCTAGGAATTATTTGGGGGAAGTTCTGTGGGCACAGGTGGTCAGATTAGATGATCACAGTGGTCCCTTCTGGCCTTGGAATCTGTAAATCTATTATTTAACATGTGTTAAAACAGTCAAACTTGCATCATTCCTGAGGTGATGCCAATGCACCTTTGTGTGTTTGGGGTAGTTTGAGTCCAGTAGCCAAAAGTTGTTCTGAGTTCATTTGATGGAACAAAATAGTTTAATGGCTTGAAATTCAAACCAAAACCATGACTGCTCTGTAAACTGTATGGTACAGTATCCTTTTAAAAAGTGTTTTGAAATATTTTAAACTGCATTTTTTTTTATCCTTTCAAATCTGCTGTAGGGAGCTTGGAAAAAACCTCCAGTAGGGCTGTTAACACTGATGAGAGATCTTGTATGCCAAGGTATGAGCTTTTCATGTTCTCAGCATATATTCAAATGAAATTGCCAATTATGAAAGTGTGGGGGTTGGAGAAACAAGAGGGGAAGGTTTAAGAATTACTAAATGTCTAATACAAGTGTGTTTAAAAAAAAAAAAACCCTCTGTGTGTTTCCTGCAGTTACAGAAAGTCGGAGGTGTGTTTTTACTTCTATCTTCATTCACAACGTTGCGAGCCATGCACTTGTGAAGGCAGCTCTATATTCTTTAAGGGGCAATGTGGATACTTGCTATGCTTTTAAAAAAAAAAAGCCTTTGTCACTGTCTTGCTTAAATGGGGGCACGTCTTCAGTCATGCTGCACGTTTCACCAGGATATGCAAAATCATCAAACCACACTTCTGCCTAGGCCTCCACACACCAAGCAACACACACACACCTAATGTTACTTGTGGCTCCGTCAGCAGTTGCTGGAGGAAGGGGGAACCAACCAAACGTAAGCCGCCTTCTTCAAACATATAAAATTGTGCTCAAACAGTTATGTTTGAAAGAGCTTGTGTCACATTTCAGGTTAGTGTGAAATTCTTACACTCAACATCTGTTCAGTGGTGGGTTTGCTTATTTTTCCACCGGGCGCAGGTTAGGAATTTCCTGGAGAGTGGCTAGAGTTTTTTGAGGGAGTAGAAAAAGGGGTTGGACCAGCTGTCAGTTCCAGAAGGGCTTCCCAAAGACTATCTTTGTATTTATATAAAGTCAGAATTATTTAAATCCTCTTAATGGCTGCAAGGAAATGCTTTTGAAAATAGAGGCTGTCTGACACATGTCTTAATTTTTTTGATCTGCTTATATAGTGCTACAGTACATGTATGTACCTAAGTCTTGTGTAAAATCTGTCTTAATGTCTGTGCACAAGCACATTAGCTGGTTTTACATAGCACAGAAGTGTGTGAAAATGCGACTGAGCCCTTTAGTGCAGTATTTCCTGTCTGAAGGAACATGATGTGATGGACTGGATTTCCTGGCTCCCAGTTCATTGCTCTTCCTCTGTGGCTATGGGCTAGTTACTTCTTTGTGCCTCAGTTTTTACGCAGTATAAAATCAGTATTACTTTACTTCACAGGGATGATATGAGGATTAATTAGTGGTTGTAGAGTGTTAAGTGTTGCATGCTGTCATTGCTCTGGGTCACCCCTTCATAGGATTGAGCCTTTAATAGTATGTCCCAGCCTTTGATCAGCCTTTTCAATTCAAACATGCATGTTTGTTTCTGTACTTGCAACAAATGCATTAAATCCTTATCTTGGTAAATGACACAATTCTTAAACCTGGAATGCCACTTCGCTTGACTTAAGCAATACATAAAATTGTCCTCTTCTGATAGTACGCTGTCTTTCACAGCGTGCGAACTGTGTGAAGAGATTGTGTAATTAAACAGGCATTCTGGGCTACTTCTGGCATCTGCTGTCTTGCTGAAAAATGGTGTCATTTGGGATCCCAATAAATACGACAAACAGTTTTCATTCTGCTTTCATGCTGAGTTAACAATTGGCCAAACATACAGGCCTGATGATAATTCAATAATAATTAATTCAATAGTGGGACCCTCACTGGGATCCTTTGAGAGCATGTTTGCAGTGATACACAGAAGCACTTTCTCAGAACAAAGAATTACTTATTTTGCCCCAAAGATACACAGTGCTTGGAGAAATAGATTTAAAATAGACAGAGGCCTATATACATATTCACTTACCTAGTCAGCAGGTGTCCCGTCCTTTTACTTCAATGGGATCATATCTCATCAACCTTTTTGCTGCATTTTTGCTAAAAAGGTTTTATTGTGTTTTTGTCATGAGCTCCTGCAGTGCTCTTTGGGTACATATATGCTGGAATAAAAGACCCGAGGCATGGCCATGGCTGGCCTGAGTCAGCTGACTCGAGCTCAGGCCGCAGAGCTAAAAATTGCTGAGTAGATATTTGGGCTCGGGCTGGAGCCTGAAACCAAACATCTACACAGCCGTATTACAGCCCCACAGCCTGAGCCCTGCAAGCCCAAGTGAGCTGATACGGGCCAGCTGCGGGTATTTAATATCTGCGGACACATACCCTGTGTCTTTTCTCCCACATGGCCCTTATGCATGCCTTTCCCAACTCCTTGTGCATGACGCCTAACGCTTTGCTTAGTTAGGCCCTCATTTGGCAAAGCACGTAAGCACATGCTAAAGTATTGGAATGAAAGCATATGTTCAAGTGCTTTGCTGAATAGGATGGACCTAAGCATATGCTCAAGTGCTCTGTTAAACTGGGGCTTTATGTTCACACTGCAGAAAAGCCTCCCACAGCATCAAGTCTCAGAGCCCAGGTCATCTGACTCAGGCTTGCGCTGTAGGACCAAGAATAGCCATGGAGATGTTCCTGCTTGGGCTGGAGCCCAGGCTATGACCCCCAGTGACGGGGTGGGTCTCAGAGCCTAGGCTTCAGTGGGAGTGGAAATGTTTTCACTGCTATTTATAGCTCCAGAGCATGAGCCCAGTGAGCCTAAATCAGTTGCCCAGGCTCTGAGACTTGCTGCTGTGGTGTGATTTTTGTGTAGTTTTTTGCACCCTATTAGATCCGCTTCTGCCAGGCTGTCTGTAGTGCCTCTAATTAACTTGTATTAAAATAACACTTGTTCCCCTTCTCCTAATTTGTCTTTAGACTGTGACTTCCACAGGGCATGGACCATCCCTTCTTGAGTGTCAGCAAAGTACCTCGCTCATTGTGGATGCTGGCATAAATAATCAGATGTCCCAGTTTCTTTTGCTTTTGAGGAAGTTGTCATTTGTGACAGTAATAGTAGAAGAAAATAAGAGGGTATTTTAATTCTGGTTCTAGAAACAGGTCCTTTTCATTGCCTAGTCTTGCCCTTGTGTGTTAAAAATCCTTGTTTCAAACAGCTACATTTTGATTGTTGGGTCAAGACATTGGGCAAGTGAAAAACTGTAACATGCTAGGGGAGATTAATCTTGCAATACCAAATTTTCAGTGGCGCGACTGTAACGTCAACAGACCGCCATTGTTGGCGGGCGGGATCTAACAGGGGACCTCTGGAGCTTAATGCATGAACCTCTACTGCATGAGCTAAAAGCCAACACGCTGTTAGCAAAGGCTGTAGAGCAGATTCATTTTATCTCTCTCTCTAAAAATGGTCTTGGTGCCACTAGATGGGACAGAACACCGCACCCAGGCGGTGTGTGGGTTACACAACCATGAGGTTTGTCCATTGCTACAGATAAAATCCAGACCTAGTGGATTTATAACTGCTATTCTTTAAAGTTGCTCTTCTGAGAGAGTCTGTAATTTGGGGTTGCTGCTTACTCCAAGAGCTGACTATCAGAAACCAGCCCTTTGCCCCTTGAGTATCTATTTTAAATAGGTAACTTTTTCCGCATGTATGCGGGGCAGTTCTAATTCAATTTGTATCCTGGCTTATTTGACTAATATAATACCAAACATATGCTGGTCAAAATGCTGTCTACTACATACGTCTTGTAACTTAAGAGTGCTTATTGTGATTGCCAACTGGCTTTCTTGGCCCTTTCAACTGGATGTCTATCAAATAAGCGCTTATTACTCAGTTCCCCAGAGAGGACTTGTAGTTCTTCTATATTTTTCTGTTCTTTGTTTTTAAATGAAATTAGTGCTTGTGATAGGTGCCCGATGGAAAGCCCTGGGGACTGAAAACTTCTATTTATCCACACCATAAACAGCAGCAATACAAGATTTCTTAAACTGCCTAGCAAATGTGCTTCATCACGGAGCTGCAAGAAGTACTTTTCATCCAGAGGAATCGCTGCACACACCACTGAAGTGTAGTCACTGCTTAACAGCACGTAGTACCACTACCGAAAGTTAAGGGTGGAAATGAATGATACTGTGTCTAACTGAAACCTAAGGGGAATTTAGATACAATGAAATTATCCAAATGAAAAATTGGCCAGGATATTGCATAGTAATAATGCCTGCATGAAAAGCCTCTCGCACTCTGTTGGTGCTGTATAAACAGATATTAATATCTTACAAACGTGCCATGGATAATTAATCCATGTAATGGGCTGTATAAGTACCTAGATTAATCACAAGAGGTTAAGATCTTGATTTCCTGTTGCATCCCCCCAAAAAGTAACTGGAAAATACTGTAGAAAAGTGAGAATTCTTGTAATATCCCTATCTGTAACTTTCCCACATGTGTTTTTGACTATAAAAAAGAAGTGAGAGAGTTCATGGCTTAATCTAAGCCTTAACTTGATTACCGTGCTTTTGAATGGGAGGGACTAGAGTGTGGTGTTACGGAAAGGAAAGAGTAGACTGGATACAACAAGCTGCTTTTATACTTCCCTTAAAAGCCATCCCTTTTAAATTCTAAGAATAGATCTTGCTCTTGATATTGCCCACAGTTAATTAACAAAATCCCCCTTCTTTTTTCAGTCCAACATGATGGTTTTGAAAAAAGGAAGCAAATGTTGCTACTCAGGGAAGTTTTCAAGTGGAAGAACTTATATAAATAAACCGTTGTCACAACTTAAGCCAAAAAAACATATTGCCGGCTAACTTCAGAGTATAAATATTGTTCATCTGGTTTTAGATATTTAGTTGCCATACTGGGGGAATCCTGCACAGCTTGCTTTTAGTTTCACAGTTTTTACAAAGTGGAAGTCTGTGGAAGTGGCAGGTGCTCATCAGCACTAGAGAAACAGCCCCAAGTTGTGTAAGGATGGGCACCCAAAGTTAAACAAATAAAATACATTAATTAATTAATGGCGATATCCTATCTCCTAGAAAAGTCATCGAGTCCAGCCCCCTGCCTTCACTAGCAGGACCAAGTACTGATTTTTCCCCAGATCCCTAAGTGGCCCCCTCAAGGACTGAACTCACAACCCTGGGTTTAGCAGGCCAATGCTCAAACCACTGAGCTATCCCTCCCCTCAAGTTAATTTTGATCTCAACCTCTCTGACTCAGGTTCCTCAGCTGTAAAATCTGGGTGGTTGG